CCACCTACCACCTACGGTAGATAAGACCTTTGTAAGTTCTTTGTTCAGAATAAAGAAGGCATTTGTACTTTAGCTCTAACAATAGTAACAGTAATTAATATTTATTAAGCTGTTTTATCATCCTAAGACATATATTATATATAATAAGTATTTATATATTAATATATATTAACTCATAATCTTTATAGTAAATGCAGTCATTGGGGCCCATTAGCCCCATTTTACAGTTGGAAACACAAAAAGGATGAATAACTTACCCAAGGGCAAAGACAGGTATTTTAGGGGCAGAGATTCAAACAGAGAGCCTACCATTTTTCAGCATTGTCAGGAGTACTGTGACTCCTGTAGAATGAACTATTCTGCTACCAGATCATCTTGCCCTAAATTATTGCCATGTTCTGTGGATTACTGTTCTTAACATGCCGAAGAGTTGCTGAGAACTTGGTCCCAGAACTCTTTGTTTGGAACCTCCTGTCATATTACCAGCTATCAGACCTACCTTATGGTTAGAACCCCACTTCTAACCTAAAGTACACATCCCAGACTCAAATAATCCAGATCACAACTCGCCTGCCTCCTCAGGACATTCTTCCCAGATGCTACATCTACATGTTTAGAAAATGCTCGATCATGATCGCCAAAGGATCGCTTCGCAGTGGTAGGTATGTGATTGCCTGTGGGTTCCTGGTCTGGTCTAATCCATTTCCTGCTTAACCTTGAACACACACTGGTTTCCTTCACTGATAATTTTGTTAACTCTACAGAATACCAGGCACGAAGCTAAGCACAGGGAACAACAGAACAACCCCACTTTGGGCTCTCTCTGGATCATAGCATCTATCCCCTCTACTCTTGTCCCTTCCAGATCTCAGTAAACTGTCCCCTTCCCCAATAAATAAACCTGAAAACATGTCTGCTCTGGAGTCTCAGCCGACTTCTCTTCAGGATGTCTGAGATTTGATTTAACTCGACATCTGATCGCCAATCTCTCTGAGTTCTCTGAAGATCTAAGAAAGGAATCATGGTATCTGCAAACTAGCCTTTGTCAAAGCCCGTTTACAGGCACCCTTGGAAGCATCAATGAGCCATGGGAGGAAAAGGTGGCTGCCATCCAGCCTGTTGTAAGAAGAGAAGAAATTGCTCCACTGCTTTGATGCAGGCATGTTTGTTTTTTCAATCTAAATGTGTAACAGGAAATTTGGCAGTTCACCTTTGTAAATCATTTGCATACCACTTATGTATGAGCCAGATGGCGCCTCTTTGTTTCAAGAAATTAAAAATGAAAAGGGAAAAATATAAGAAGGACTTTATCTTTGCTTCTCCTCCTGACCTCCTGTGTACACTCTAGAGTCCTCACAGAGCAAGCAAGCCCAGGCCAACAGATGCCTACATACATTCACACAGGCATGTTCATGAATGCACGTGTGCATACACACACACACACACACACACACACACACACACACACACACATTATCTGTGTTTATCTGCATTAGTCACCAAGGTGAGTAGTCAGCAAGTTCTTAGTCCTAATAATCAAGGATAGTAGAGCAGCACAAATTTGACCCGGGTTAACAGAGAGCATCCTTCATGGTGTTCTGTCTATCTGATAAATCACCACATTCCTTGGGGCCTTAGCCAGTGTATACTGAACAAGAAGGTCTTACATAAATCTCTCAAACATAGGCATAGCTCTGTGATTTGGAAGCAAGGGCATATAAACGCTGGCCAGAAGAAGGGCAGTGCAGATGACCCACTATTTCTGTGGAAGTTGAAACCTCAGGAAGGAATTTTCCTTGAGGTGATTGTCTTAACCCTACTCCTTTGGGGCAGCTCTATGAGTCTAGTTTATTTTCCAGTGGTCAGGAGTTCCTCCTTCTGATCCAAGAATCTCATCTGGGAATGAGACTATCTCCACAGCGTTCTTGTTTTGGGTGTGAGGAGTGCTGAGGAGGCCGTGAAGGCAATAGTTTGTCTAGTAAGTATTGCATTACAGGCTCTTCGCACAAAGTAACTTGCTCAACATAAACATACCTCCGCTGAGTAAATATTTTTGTCCTAATTTTTAAAATAAGAAAATTGAAGAGAGGCAGTGAACACATGGTGCTGATGGTGACTAAACATTAGAGAGTGAACATAGCGGACATTAGCTCCAAATCCAAGCATTCTTTAGTAACATCAATGTCTTCCAAAGGGGCTAAGACTTTAGGGACATTTTTGTGTGTGTGTGTGTGTGTGACCTCAGGCATATGTACTTCTGCCTTTCATTTTTTCAAAAGATTTGGGGTGGGGGGGTGTGTAAGCATACATCAAGCATGTTGAGTTAACAAGTATAAAGAGGTGATCCAATCTGATCTTTGAGTGTGGCCACTGTAGATACAGGCCACCAGCAGTGCTGACCTTTCACTCAAATAGCTATCCTTCCTTAGTTCATACTTCTTTGGAACTAAAGACATACATTTTCAAGTGACTGAGCCTCAGTTAACAGCCTGACTTAGACCTCACGAAGAGAGAACTCAAGATATCTGGACTTTGGACAATTCCCATTGACCTCACTTCCTTAAATCTGCCCTCACACTCAAAGAAATGAGATGGGTTTACTCCTCGATCCTTTGCCAGGAGTAGAGTAAAGTTAAGGGCTATGAAAACAAGGCTGAAGCATACCATTTGGATAATGCTTCTTTGTGTGTGTGTGTGTGTGTGTGTGTGTGTGTGTGTGTGTGTGTGTGTGTGTGTGTTTTAACCTTTAAACCAAAGAAGAAATATTATGAGCAACCCAGGAAGCCAGTTTCAAAGCTCAACTTGTATATTCTGGTCTGATATGGTTTTCTAAGGCCTGATAGAGTCCAGAGAGACCAACAAATTATAACCAACTATCTTCCCTGCACAGAAACAGACAAACAAAAAACAGTAAGCCATCCCTTACTTTCATCAGCACCACTATAGATCTGAGGTTAGCCAGGCGAGACAGAAAGCCCTCCTATGTCGAGTGGAAGGCAATTAAATGACTTCAGCTAGGCTCTATGACCCACGCGCCTGCTTAGTAACCACATCCAGGCTTTGGATATGCCTGGTGGGGAGAAGGGTCTAGATGCTCAAGACTGTGCTTTGGCACATCCTGATAGGTCTTCTCTGACCATCAGCCTGTGGGTGTGCTACACCATGCTCCCCTTCCTGTGTCTGGGATACTTGGTAGTGTGGGTGGCTAAAATTGGCCAGTTTGCTGGGGACACTCTGCTTTCACCAGCTTTGGTTTATTTAGCCTCCTGTGTGCTCATGGTAGTACATCATTTGCCATCCTTTGGTTGAACCATGCAAGCCACTCTGCAGTCATAAATGGCATTTCTAAAACACTCCACTTTCTTTTGCACTGTTACTAAAGTGAAGGTCCTTGAGAAATCAGTACCGATACCTGAGTGATCAATCATGAGCCACAACATCACCAGGAGCATCCAAATAAATCTAACAAGTATGTCCTTGCCAGCCCAGAATTCCAGCCTCCTGGTTTACCAAGCTCAGGCAACAGGATCATCAGACTTCACAATGTGGTTACTTGTTTGTTATCATGACTAAACAATTGGCTTCCATGCTCCTGCTACAAATTGAAAGTTTATGTTTTCTTTGTCCCCAAGATCAAACAAACATTTGATTCTTAGCAGGAAAATGCCCTTACAACTGGAAGTAGAATTTTTTAGAGGTCATTAGACCATTAGCCTTCATTAGATTTTGTGATCTCACAGAAGGGACCTTAGGGAGTTCCTTTGCCTTATCTACCATGTGATAACACAACAAGAAGACCATTTATGAACCATGGAGCCAGCCTTCACTAGACATGGAAGCTGCCTGAGCCTCTGGAACTTGGAGAAATATTCTTGTATTATCATAGGCTCCATGGTTTATGGTATGTTGTTGAAGTGTCACAGATGAAGACATTCTCTGCTCCACAATATTGTCCTTCAGTCTCCTATACCACAAATGTAAACTCCTGCCTTAGTCAAAGTGCCAAAGTAAGTATTCCATATTTTAATTTTTTTCTTTATTTTTTTTTCTGAGACAAGGTATCTCTGTGTAGACTGGCCTTAAACTCTAGATCCACCTGCTTCAACCTCCCAACTCCGGAGATCACAGGTGAAGTGCCACTATGGGCAACATAAATCTTCCTTATTGCAGAAGGAGGTGTGTACCAATTGGTTTGCAGACATGACCCCATCTGTGGGCATCAAGTTGTACCCATGTTTCTCTTTCTAAGAAAAGTGACATTCATGGCCACTCACCTTTAGCCTTGCCATAATAACATAGAAAAAGTCAGTGTTCTATTATGAGGCGATTCCCCACAAAGTAAAATAAGATCTTGTAGCAGGAGACAGGTAACTGTATGCAAATGAAACCTCCTCACAATCAGCCTTTCTGTAGGGCCATGCTTTGTCCAAAGCCAGAAACTGACAAGATGCTTTATTTTCTCATTTCCCAAAGCCAGTAAGATTAAGTTTAGTAGTATACTGGCCACTTCTAGTTTACTTTGGGTTCCACTTTCCAGAAAAATCTATCCTTGAAAATGAGATCACCCTCACATAATCCTGAGATAATTTCAGAGAATAAAACATGTTGTGAGTGAGGCTACATCAGGGGATAGGATGGACTATTGATGTAGCACCAAGTTAGACTGTCTGGGTGTGCATTTGAACATACAGCTATAGGTATTCAACTCTGTTTACACAAATAATGAACAGTGACTCAGTAAGAATATAATGTGCAGGTTATTGCAATGTATAGACAGAGTCCTGCTTAATGTCAAAGAGGAAGGAAGAATGGCCTGCCATGATAATAATAAGCTGATATGCCAAGATGCAGGAGTGGCTGAAAGATAATTGTTGAGTGCATATGTGAGCATGCGTGTGCATACATGTGCACCATAGTGACAGGGTTAATGGACAATGACAGACATGTAAGCAAGGCACTAGCTCGGCAACTGAGTCCTGCAGCTGGGAAAGTCACCTTACCCTGTAGTAATCAGTACTGTAGACATCTCTGGACATGCCGAAATCGCCAATCTTCACCAGTAGGTTGGCTCCAACCAGGCAATTCCTGGTGGCCAGGTCCCGGTGCACAAAGTGCTGGGAGGCCAAGTACACCATGCCCGAGGCTATTTGACTGGCGATGTGGAGCATCTGAGAGAGCCCTAGCTCCCCTTTGGCCTGGCGTGGCTGCCCATCCACGAGGATCATCGCATCTGGCCCATGAGCCCTACAAGGAGAGGGGGGAAGAAGATGGAGCAGAGAGAACTCAACAGATCAAAGGCAAAGTCTTGGTGGTCTTCAGCACTCTGGAACATCCTGCAGAAATGAAGGAAATCCCCTTTCCTGGCTACCTGTGCCTATCTCTATCTTCCCAAATTATATCAAGTGAGTATGTCTATGGGTGAAACTACAAAATCCCCACTAATATAACACAAATGTACTCAAACCTAACAGGGGACAAACCTCCTCTTTCACTATCCAACTACCACATAGGTTCTTCCCAGGTGTTAGGTACTTACTATAGAGTAATTAATAAAGTTACCACTAACCCTTACGATGTGTATATGCCAAGCGCTATTCTGATAGTTTTAAAATCGTTCATTTAATCTTTCTACCCTGATTTTCTTAAGTTGAGGTACAAAATGATTAGAAAGCTCAACCAAAGTCCTAGATATTTCAAAATAACTATATGGTAGTCAAGAGACATACTTGGAATTATTATCTATGACTATAAGGGGAGAGTCCGGCAGCAGCTCCCAAAAGGGGCATCAAGAAGGATTTTAAAGAGATCTTATGGCCTCACCCCTTGGAGTTCTGATTGGCTATGCAGTGTTCCTTCATTTGCATTTCTGACAAGCTCCCAGTGCTGATGCTGCTGACAGGCAGTCCACAGCCCCTAGCTGCAAGTGGGCTTGCTCCATACTCCTAACCACTCCGCAACACCAAAAGCAAGGCAGAGTGAAGCAAACCTCTGACTCTTTGGGAGCCCAACACTCCCTCCGTGCTAAATTCCAGCCTGTCTCATGTTATGATAACACCCTGCCCTGTCAGATCGGTCACTTTTAGTGTTCACTCTTTCCTGCAGAAAGCCAATGAGCCATAACCACACCCAGGGCCCTTATTTATGAAGTGGAGCACCAACGAGCCCTGGTGTACAGCGAGGCCCCAGCCTGCTTTACTGCTTCTCCAATTTCCACTGAAAAGCACCATTAAATAGAAACACACTCTGTTTATTATCTTCGGTGGGCTTTGCCCCCTCCCTCCTTAGGAAAGCAGCTGCATCAGCTAGCTGGGGATTCGTCAAGAAGCTCGTTCCCACTCCGGTATACCAGGATACACTCCTGCCAGTCCCAAGCTCCACCAACCAGGAAACATGCGAGCAGGCAGAACTGACCCCAGGGTTCAAGGGAGGCATTTGGGAGAGCAGCCTGTAAACCAGCTCCTAGCAACGATTGGTATGACCCAGGCTTTCAACCTAGAGCTTTGGGAAAGCTTGGCATTGACTAACAGAACCTAGGAAGACAGGTGAGAATCTGGGAGTTCCCTGGGATTCTGGACAGTAGTTGCCACAAAATACCTGGAGAGACAGTTGACCTTAACTTGAATAGACTCCCCATACTGTCTTCAGGAAGAGACTCCAAAGACAGACACAAGAGTATCACTAAATTTCTTCCCACATTCCTGCCATGGAGAATCAAGGGGTGAGTTAATTTGGAGCAGACAGTTTCTTGCCATGGGTATCTGTTACTGCTCAAAAGCAGAATGCTTTCAGAGACTGTGTGTCTGAATATTTGGTCTCTACAGATGGAGCTTTTCTAGGAGGTGAGGAACCCTTGAGGAGCAAACCCTAGGTAGAGGAAGTAGGTCACTGGTATGGGGGTATCACACAGTTTATAACCCAAACTCTTTCTGGTCCAAACTCTCTTACTCCCAATTGCAGATATGATATGACCTCACGTGCCAGCACCATGTCTTCCGCTGTGATGAACTGCATCCCTTCAAACCGTGATTCAAAATCAATCCCCCTGCCCTTAAGTGGCCTCTTGCCAAGTAGTCGACCACAATGATAAGACACTATTTTTTTTTGTTTTGTGTTTTCTTTTCTTATGATTTTGTGTTTCTCCTGCCCTAGTCTTTTACTCCTGATTCTCCCCCTTTCTCTCTCCTCTGCTTTGTATCCCTCATCTTTCCTTGGTATAAAGAGATACACTGGAGCTGGTAGCTTTGTTGAGCCCTTCTGGTTGCACTTGGGACTGGAGAATCAGTCGTTCCTCTAGAGAATATGATGTGATGTGAAATGGGGCAGAAGAGTGGAAGTACAAGGTGAGGGAGACTCTGCATACTGAAACAAGGTAGCATCCAGAAGCTCTTGATTTGTAGCTCTTATAATGTAATGATAATAATAGTGACTTTTAGAATAGCCACCATTGATTCAGTACTGTAGCTGCCTGTAAAGCTCATCCAGGCATTATATACACATTGCCGCACAATGCTTCTAACACCAACTCCATGAAGCAGCTATAACTTTATCCATTTATAATTAAGATAAGCCCCCATCTCTCTTATGCTAAGGGCTGAGTTCTCCAGGAATCAATTTCTTTATGAACTTAAGTTCCAGAGACTTAGAGAATCTAGTGGGTTTTCTCAGTATCTCTAGGGCAGTTATTTGGAAACCTGAATCATAAGGAGATATCTGAAGACTCTTGCCAAGTCTGACTCTTCCCTTTCCTTTCTCAAAGTCTGAATGCTGACAAGTAGAATTTACCTAAATACAAAATGTTCTTTCTTTATCAGTCACCTCTGCTTTCTGATGAGTTTATAATTTGATAACTTCACATTCATCATTAAAAAGTATCTGGGTGGGGGATGGGTTGGCTTAAGGCTATAACATACTAATCTCACTTAGCAAGTGAGACACTTAAAAAATTTGCCACATTGGGGTAAGAGAGTAGGTAGCCCTAAAACCAGGGTTGTGAGTCTTAACCTGGGATCCTCACAGGATATATCCCAGGCCTTACTCTTCTTCTCAGGTCATCTGGGAGCCAACAAGAAAAGTATTGGTGTCTCACTGTGGATACAAAAACCTAAGTCCAGCTGGGAAAGAGGCAACATATGAATGAAAGGGTTAAGTCTAGAGGTGTAGCTCTGTTAGTAAAGTACTTGTCTAGCATACATAAAGCTCTGGGTCTCATCCTAAGGACTACATAAACTAGTCACAGGCATACACACCTGGAATCTCAGAACATAGGATAGATAGATAGATAGATAGATAGATAGATAGATAGATAGATAGACAGATAGATGATTTAGATAGATAGATAGATAGATAGATAGATAGATAGATAGATAGATAGATAGATAAAGACAGATAGACAGATAGGCAGATAGAGGTAGATAGATAGATAGATAGATAGATAGATAGATAGATAGATAGATAGATAAAGACAGATAGACAGATAGGCAGATAGAGGTAGATAGATAGATAGATAGATAGATAGATAGATAGATAGATAGATAGATGATTTAGATAGATAGATAGATAGATAGACAGATAGATGATTTAGATAGATAGATAGATAGATAGATAGATAGATAGATAGATAGATAAAGACAGATAGATAGATAAAGACAGATAGACAGATAGGCAGATAGAGGTAGATAGATAGATAGATAGATAGATAGATAGATAGATAGATAGATAGATAGATGATTGATTGAGATAGACAGACAGAGAGGATGGAAAAGAAGGAAGAAGGAAGAGAAGGGCAGTGCTTTTGATTTGCCATCCTTAGACTTGAATTCACAGTAGCAAGTATGACTTCTGGCCACATAGAAAACCCCAAAGGCTCAGTGGGACTAAGGGAGGGGGAAACATGTCCATTCTTGCTTACCTGAGGAACTTGTTAAGGTCTCCATGCTTCATGTATTCAAAGACCATGATGAGTGGATCCCCATCACCACACACCCCATAGAACTTGACAATATGTTCATGCTGCAGGTTAGTGAGCAGCTCAGCCTCCCTCTGGAAATCCTTCCTGGCAGCCAAGGTGGGATCCTTCAGGGCCTGAGAACCATACAACATCAGTTTTTAGCAACCAGAGAACAGAGAGCCATCTTTCTCCAGCTGGTGAAACTTGTTACCACATCCTTCTGGACCACAATGAATATAATCTATTTTAAAACATAAAGGCGAAGCACACTGATGAAGCCCTTTTCATTCAGTATTTTGATTCATATCAAAGAACCCCATATTCCAGGCTCTGGCCAGTGACTTTAACCCATGCTTATCATCCATCCGCAAGCTTCTCTCAGTATGAATGTCAGGGAACAAAGCTATGTGATGGAAGACTTGGATGACTCCTGTTCATGAAGTTCCCTTTAAAGGACAAGTCCCTCTGGTATAGTAAACTGAACAGCACCACCCCAATTGCCTTATCTTTGTAAATCACTACACACTCTAGAAGTCAGGCAATGCCCCGATGCTATCTTTTGGAGTCCTTGTGTCTTAATGGTGAAATAGGCTGCATTGACAGAGGAGAGGTAGCACTTGGCTAATCACTGTGTTCTCCAACCAAAGGTTTAATAGAAGCTCTAGGGGGAAGATAGGGCTGCAGTTGACAGATGGAAGCCTTAGATGCACACAGGACCAGGTCAACAGCGACTAAGTCTCAGTGCAGGATGAGGTGGTGAGCCCATGGGGGCCACTCTACCAAGATGCTGTGACTCTGCCCCACACGGATTGTAAGCCCAAGTGTGACCAAGAGGGAAGTACAGACCTCACCATTTCTTATTCTATAAGACTAATACAGCAAAAAGAGTATACAACACCAAGGTGGGGTTTTCAGCATCAGAAGGGGAGTATGATACCAAAACTAAAGATATCTAGTACATACAAGAGACAGGGAGCAGAGCACTACTGTGATAGCTCACCCTGGTTGTCAACTTGACACATCCAGGAAGAAGGGGACCTCAACTGAAGAATCACTTCCATCAGTTGGCCTGTGGGTGTGTCTGTGTGGCATTTTTCTTAATTATTGATTGATGCTGGAGGGTCCAACCCACTGGGGGTGATGCCATCCCTCGGCAGCTGGTCTTGTAAGGAAAAATAACTGCATGTGAGCTTAGGAGCAAGCCAGCGAGCATCTTCCTCCATGGTCTCTGCTTCAAGCTCTTGCCTTGAAGTTGAGTTCTTGCCCTGGCTTCCATGATTGACTGTCATCGGTAAGATGAATTAAAACCTTTCCTCTACACATTGCTTTTGTTCACGGTGCTTATCACAACTACAAAAAAACCAGTCTAGAACAGCCATCCTAAGGATGGGCAATATTGTCCAAAATGAAGGATGTTGTGTTCAAAGAAAAGACCATCTATGCTAGAGGAGAAGCCTATGCAGGCGTGCCTACACATTTCTGAACCTCCTGTAATTGCCTTAAGGTCACAAGGCAAATGCCCCAAGCCATGAGCACCAGGTAATCAAGAAGTAAGGATAAAACCAGCCAGCTGATCTCAGGTCATTGAGACTCTAAAGTGACTGGAGACTAGCTTGAACTCTCCCTGCTCCATGTCTGGCCTTTCCTGGTGCTTCAGACAAAATGGTCTGCCATGGAAGTGCCACAAGGTCTCCCTAGCCAGAGATCTTCCTATATCTACTGTAGCCCCGAGGGTTGAAATCTGACAGTTTTGGTTTGTTTTTTTTTTTATTCGCAAACTGCAGTGGCATCAGCCTGCAAAGGATGTGCCAAGTATGCCTCTCCAACCTCTCAGTAACCACCACAAATCAGGGATGATGGATGCTTAGCATGAAAAAGCTGTCCATCACTTTAATTCCCCCATTGCACATTTTTGTAGCTGGAGAAACTGAGGCTGAGCCTGTTTGAGAACCGGCCCATGTTCACACAGTGGAAATGATGGGAAGCATAGTAGACCTGAGCAATCCTTTGCTGAGATTCACAGTACCCCAGACTTCAGGAGCAGTGCCTACAGGTCCATCAAAACAAGTGTGGCTTCCTCACCTGAAGCTGCATCCCAATTTCAACCAGCATCACCTTCCCTTCTTTGCAAAATGTAAAAGATTTCAACAGAAAAGTTTTCAATTAAATGACCGACTGAAAAAATACTGAAAGTTACTTTTACCAGACCTAATTCTTTTTTTTTCTTTTGGACAGGGTTTTATGCTACATAGCTGATAATGACCCTGAATTTCTGTTTCCACATCAGAAGTCCTAAGATTGCAACCATGCTCCACCATGCTTGAGCTTATGCGCTGCTGAGGGTCGAACCCAAGGCATTGTGTATGCTAGACAAGAATCCTGCCAAATCAGCCACAACTCCTACTCCCAACACCTATAATTCGATGTGATGATTGCTTCAGCTCTGGGGGAGACTTATGAATATCTGGAATGGCCACCTGATAGCAGAACAAAGACTTGCCAGCCAATGTGTCGTGGGGAAAATAACCTTTTCTGGTGACCCACCTCCCTGCCACAGCCCTGAGCTACAAGGGATAAAACATGGGCACAAGATGACCAAGTATGACTCATTTATTTTCATGAGGAAGAGGCGGGGGAAAAAAAACAGAGAAACCCAGCAAGGGTGGGATGGGAGAGTATGAGGATTTATGTGAACACTGGATTTATGGGAGAGAAAAGTAGATCAGATTTGGGGGCAGCCAAATGGCCTCTCTCCATCTCTTTAAATCATTCTCTCCCACAGCCCCGACATCACTGGCAGCCATGGGATATTTCTGCTCTCAGCCCTTGAGCAGTAGCAGCCCAGGGTCTGTCCCTCAGGCTGGCACCCTGAACTGCAAGGCAGACAGAGTTCCTCCTGAGAGATGGAGCACAATGCAGCCGCTGTTTCCACGGCTTCTACACCCTTTCCCTCTTCCTTCACACTGGGTTTTCCAGCTGGTGGGTCAAACCTGAAGTTCCTATGTAACTGTCAAAGTGAGGGGTGTAGCAACTGGGGGCCAGAAATGTCAGTGGCCACAGTCCCCAGGGATTAATGCAATTGGGACAGAGATGACAGGAGAATAATGGGGAGGGAAACTGGGCCAAAAGCTCTCTGGCCCTGCTCATGGGATTCTATATCCAATACTTCCTTGGTTGCTGGGCAACTGCAAAATGGGTCACCACGAAGTGGCATGGGACAGAGTTGATGCTTATCATAGTCACCAACTGTTGGCACAAGGAAGAGGGTCTTGCCATGGAGCCTGAAGTTGGGGACATTCCTGGCTGGGTGCTTTGTATCATAAGCACAGGAAATGAGAACTGGAAACTAATTCCTTGTCTTCTTTTCCCTTTTGGTGTAAGGGACATTTCCCTTGAGTTCTTGTTCTCCACATGCACCAGCTCCTATGAGAACTCCAGCCCTGAGCAAGGATTTCAGCTGGGCTGTTCACTAGGACAAGGTAAGGCAGGAACAGATGTGCTCAGCAGCCCAAACCCTTCCCGGATAGCTGACATCTTCACGTTGGTCAACAGCTAACTTGCATTTGCCTTTTCTCTGGTAGGGAGAAGCTACTTCAGGGAATGTTATCTTTGAGATTTCATTAATATCTGGAAACCCATTTTATCATGCACACAGGAATACGCACACTCCTAGGTGTCCAAGCATACACTCACATGCATGCACATACAACCAACCAGTTTTAATTGTGAAAATCATTTTATTTTAGTCTCTCAAACACCTCTTGTCACTTCCCCTTGTTGAGATTCACAGAGTGACAGGGGACAAAGATGGGTGGTCACCGCATGAACAGATGCCCCTTTCTCGTATGTCACTCATTTCCCATTGTCTTCAGCATGAAATCCCAACTTCTTAACAGTCATAGACTGAAGATGTCAGCTAGACCCATCTTCTTCCACTTCCTCGTCCCAACTCCATGTCCCCCTCATTAATTGTGCTTCAATCTCACTGGCCTTTCTGTACCCTTGAGCTTGTATCTGCCTCAGGACCTTTTCACTGGATGTCCTCTTGGTCATAAAGACTTCCAATAGAGCTGTAGAGATATAATTAGGCCACTGACTTGGTACTGCCCATCAACTCTGCAGAGCATACTGACTGGTGCCCTGGGACCCTGAACCTTCAACTCTGGTCACCTATAGAGATGCTTATGTCTCCAAGAGGAGTTTACTAGGAATTGACTATGATTATCCACAAATTGATTCATGAGAGTTAAACTTGATCATGTGATCATTGTTAATACAATGAAATATCATAAAAAACAAGTAAGTGTGAGTGGGAAGCAGGCAGTTTCCATAGAGCCCAGGATGAACACTTTGCAAAGATGCGCTAAAGGTAAATGACTAAAACCAATTAGCAGTGGAAGAAAAATCATCTGGAAAATTGAGGAAACAGTAAAAAGCTGAGATTTTAAAAAAGCCCCTTTCCAAGCATGGAGGGAAGGGCAGCAGTGAGACTGTGAGGAATCAGGATCTAGCTCTACCAATAATTCACCAAGAGTCCTGTGGCCGCCTGACAGTGCCAAGAATACCACATGTGTTACCTAACATGAAATGCAAGTCAGTTATAAACAAAAGACTTAAGTGTTAGTGGACTATTTTACAAACACTGCTACAATTTTTAAGATCACTGCTTTGGGTAGGGTTTTGTTTGAGTTCCCTCTTGTCTTTATTTTTAAGATTGTATTTTAATTAAAACCTTTCTCCCTTCCCTTTCTTCCCCCCAAACCCTCCCATATACCCTTCCCCACACTCCTTCAAATCCTGGCCTCTTTTTCATCAACTGCTAGTGTGTGTGTGTGTGTGTGTGTGTGTGTGTGTGTGTGTGTGTGTGTGTGTGTGTGTGTGTGCGCGCACATACCTACATATCCCCAAATACAACTTATTGAGTTCATACTATGTTACTTGTCTGTATGTTTTTAGGGCTGACCGTTTGGCTCTTCTCTGGGGAAGACCACCTCTTCTGCTCCCATCTTGCCTCAGTTGCCTGTAGCTCCTTGAGATCACTCTTTTTTACTGAAGGTGTATTGACTAATGCTAAGTGTGCTTTTCACGCTCTGCTGGTGCTGGGCAATGTCAGGGACATTTTTGTTTGTTACAATGGGAGCTGGCATCTACTGGACAGAGACCAAAATAGGCTGCTAAACACTATACAAGGAAATCAAGAGCTCTTACCAACATTGAATTATCCCATTCTACCAATAGTATGAAAGTTGAGACAACCTCTGTTAAACTTTGCAAATGACAAATAAAATTATATTTACCCCCACCACCACCCCAAAACCCTGAGATTCTCTCCTCAGAATGTTTCACAGATGCTTCCAGTTCTTGCTCCAATTTAAATCACTATAACTGGGAGTCAGGAGCACTCCACACAGATCAAAACAACCCTCCAATCCCAGAGAAATCCAAATACCGAGGCTCAGATGTATTAAAAGAAATATCATGTTAAATCCAAGTTGTGAAAACTGTCAAAACAGGAACTTGAATTGCTGCAGACCAGACCCATATTTATTTTGAAATAAGGACATTTTCCAAGAAAATGGAGAAATAATTGCTTCTTATGAAAACAACAATATATAGGCCAGCAGGATGGCTCAGAGGGAAAAAGCACTTGTCATCAAGCCTGAAGATATGGATTGAATCCCATGGACTCATGTGGTAGAAGAGAATCAACTCCTGAAAGCTGTCCTCTGACTTCCATACATTCAGGTACTGTGTATACACACATGGCAAACAGACATGCAAATAAACGAAGTGTATGATCAGTATACATGTATGTCAGGCATGGTAATGCATACCTATAATCCTAGCACTTGGGAGGCAGAGGCAGGAGGATTACCACAAGTCTGAGATTAGGCTAGGCTACATAGAAGAATCCAGGTCAACTAGGGCTACATAGTAGAATCCCACCTCAAAAGGGGAAAAAGAAAAAGAAAAACCACCAATATAGAGAAAAAAACAAAGATAAATAAGAGAGAAAGCTAAAAGAACAAAAATTAGGAACAATTCGATGTCTTGGAAATAAACCACATGGTCACTAAAGTTAAAAAAAATACTCCACAGACAGAAATATTAAACAGATTAAAGTACAGGAATGCACTGTGTACTGGAAGAGCATTGAGGACCTCTCAGGACAGAACACAGAGTGACAGAGAAAGAGAAAATAGAAGGGAAAATTTTACGTACACACACATATGTGTGTGTGTGTGTGTATGTGTATATATACATATGTATATGTATACATACATATATATGTGCGTGTGTATGTGTATACGTACACATGTATTTGCATACATACATATTTATATATGTGTGCGTATATATTCCACATATTATATATATAATAAGAAAGTGTCTCCCATGTGCCAAACAAGCAGTTTGCTTGGGTGCCAATGCTGTGTGCATGGACTGGGTATTAAACAACTATTTAAAAGTGACGTCACCAGTTTAAAACTCTGAATTGTATTACATGTAATCCCTGACATCTGATGGCGAGAAGAAAACACATTCGGTAGAAATCTGACATTGAGCTTAGAATTTTGACCTTTCCCTAGACTGCTGAATGTGATTCAGTTCTCTCTTAAAATAGAGGATGGCAGCAGTGAGCTATAACTCCCTGTCCTCTATGGGATAACCAAGAAGACAAGCATTGCTCTTTAACATAATGCATGTCTAGGAGATGATGAATGACTATTTGCTTGCTTGCTTATCTATTTATTTATTTATTTATTTATTTGTTTGTTTGTTTGTTTGTTTGTTTGATTCCAGGCAGAATCTCACTACATAGCCCAGGCTAGAATCAAATTCCTAATCCTCTTAAATCAGCCTCTTGAGTACTGGGATTACAGGCCTGTGCTACCTACCACAAATAGCTCTACCTAAATACATTTGCAATTTATGATGAGTATTGAGATGTTGTCCCCCTGCATGCCTAGGAGCATCTGGAGTTTAATGTCTTGCATATACACAGACTATTCTATGTCTTATCCTGTCTTCCATGTATTTTGTAGGTGTTTGCTTGGCTTCCCAGCAGACTGCAAGCCCCTTAAAAACAGGCTGTGTTTGCCATACCCTTGTATATATATTAACTGCTGGGCAAAAAAAAAAAAAATACTTACCAACAGATTGAAAACCCACATCCAATTTTGAGGAAACCTAATCTTGGTCTATGCTTGCCAGTGTCCCCCACAAGTACAGAATTGCCCTGCAGCAACATGAGAACACAAGAGAAAGGCTTGCCAAAGGATGAGACTACAGGAAGGACAGAGAGCAGAGAACTCCCACTCCTGGGTGGTCTTGGAGAATGAGAAGAGAGAGACTCTTCCTAGGGCTGCAGGCTGGGCTAGGCAGCTCCATTGCTTGACAAATGGTGTCAAATTCCAGAGCACTCATAAGCTTCCCCAACCCGTGGGGAGAAGAATACCCTTTGGAAAGGATGCAACCAGAAATACATTGTTTCTGCAACACTCATTCCGGCAAGTGCCTCTCTATGCCAGACACTCTACAAACCTGAGACCCTTGGTTCTCCGTCACTGCTTTATCTCCTGTTGAAAATTCCCAATCTGGTTCCTTTGCTACTTCCCAGACAGACGCTGGGAGAGCCAGTAGATGAGTGTCATTCTACCCGTTAAATGGAACAGAGCAGGGCAGACACAGAGGTTAAGGACAGAATTAGAAACCTCTTCTCCAGCCTTGACCAAGACATTCAAGTTCATTCCAAGAATGTACAGTAACAATAATCATCAGCCCTGCATAGAGCAATGGTCTAGGTACTTATTTTCAAAACAGAGATCAGCTATTGATGCCTGTTTTTGTAAAATATCTGTCTTGGAAAACAGCCCCTCATGCTAGTTCATGTGATGTCTGTGCAGCTTTCCCGCTGCACAGGCAGGGCTGAGAGATGCAGCAGGACACAGCCTCCAACACTTCAATATTTAGATTTAGTCTCTGGTCCTTTAAAGGAAAAAATGTTGGTAAACTTTATAGTAAATAAAAGCTCGATGGGTCATATATGATGTGCCTAATACATTGGTGTTGTCAGCATCAGGAATAAACAGCTATTAAAAAAAAATTACTGCTCTTTGTTGAGCATTTACTTAGTCATCAGTATTTGGTGGAGATATTATTACTCCTATCATTCAGAGTGGAAAATTAAAGTCCACCTTACGTTCTGCCCAAGGCCATGTAGTTGATTGGTGAAAGATTTGGGATTTGTATCCAAGCTCTCACTCTGACGCCCATGCCAGATGGTCCTCTGAACTACATTGTCTGTATCTGTCAGATGGTTCACCCTCTATGGCCAGAGACAACCTACAGATAGACACCAATGACTGTAGATGCAGAGATCCAAAAGTCAAAGAAGCATAAATTGCCTTCATGATGGAGTTTCTATTAGGCTTATTTAGCACTAAAGATGGGGTCATTCTGAGATCCCAATGAGTGTCCTTCTCTGTGGCCACGTCTCTCATTCCCATCTCGACGGTCATCTGTCATTCTGGAACAGCATAAAAACTCCACTATGGCCTCAGAACATGCTGAGCACATGAAAGGAGGCCACTTCATTCTCCTGACTCTATAGTATGGTTCCAGGCCTCAGGGAGTCCATCTGGCCACTTGTTTGGTGAACATATCAAGACCTGTCAAGCACTAATCTGCAGAGAGAAGGCCTTCTGCTGAACCAGGCTGGAGGAGGGCAAGGGTGGGAACAAAGCTCCTTCCACACTTCTCTGGCAATCCATCCGCAGCTGCAAACCTGCCTGGAGCCTCAGTGGCACACAGTCCTGGGGCTAAAGGTCCTTCTGTAACTGAAGTTGCCTTCTGCATGAATTCTTGGGGTCTACGCTCAGATGTCGTAACAGGAATTTTAGAATGTATCCCCCCCACCTCACCCACAAGTTCCAGGTGCTAATTCTGTGACCACCCCAACCCTATCTCCCTCTAATCTCTGTGATGTCTAGTATCTTTGAAATGGGACTCCTCTAACTCATCAGACAGCCCCTTCCATCCAGCTCTGCTCCAGACACCTGGCCAAATATCTGTCTAGGGCAAATGGCATATGATCACTCACTGGAGAGAGTGACCCAAAGATCCTCATTCAGTCAGAGCCTTTCACAGGCAGAAGTTGTCCCAATTACATACTGCAGTTCTAAAACCAAAGTCATGTTTAGTCTATTGGAAGCTTCACTGACTCTGGACCAAGGGTCCCTAATGGGGTCTGAGACCAGTTCAACGCCACCTTCTCCATGGCCCTCCACCTCACAGGACCACCACCAGCCCTGTCCTAGTTGCCCATGTGCCCCAGGATTTACCTTCACTGCCACGAGCATCTTGTCTTTGGTGGGGCTTAGATTGTAACACTCAGCCAGGAAGACCTTTCCAAAAGCTCCCTCACCCAGTTCTCTCTTCAACACGATGTCTCTCCTCTTGATGTGCTGGACATCTGTAGAAGCATCACAAAGGGGACAGACAGTCAGGCTCTGTCATCCATCAGGACAGCAGGAATCTAGAGTGGTTCTGAGTTCACAATGGGAAGAGCCAAATGTTCACATCCCAGTTTGGGCATAGAGATTGTCATTTCTTTATGGGTGAAGTCTGACATGGAATTAAACCATGGCTCTCTGCTAGACTGGCTGCTGACTACTCTACACCTCAGCTTTCTGAGATGAGGACCAGAGCTAATGGACATGAATCAGTGATGTTACTGAATGCAGGCTGCTTCTACCTCCTGCGATACTGCACATGAACTGGGGCACCTTGGCAAGACACAGGTTCTGATTCAGTGGGCCTGTGAATCTGCATCACTAGCAAGTCCCTAAGTGATGCCAGTGAGCTGCTGGCAGCTCTTTAAACACCAAGGTTGCCAGGATGGTGTTGAGAATCAGATGTGAATCCTGACTCCATGTCATCCTCTCTGCTTTCAGTTTGGGAAAGCTATTTAATCCCAGTGACTATAATTCCTCATTTGTAAAATGGGGTTAACAAGAATACCTCTCTCACTGAAGCCTTGTGATGAAATGAGATAATCCAGATTAAGAGGTTGGCTCAGTGCCTGGGAGAAACTTAGAAACATGTGCTCAACACACACACACACACACACACACACACACACACACACACACACACATACAAATATGCACACACATACAAATACATACATACACACAAACATAAGTACACCCACACATATGAACATACACACATATACATAGCCACATATACACACAGGTATATGCACATACACATGCACACCCACACATATGAACACACACAAACATGCATACACATATATGTACATACATGCATATACTCACATGCACAGATACACACATGCATGTACACATATACAAACACACACACATACACACATATACACATACATATGCACACATACACACCTACACACACACAGCCCAACAGCACATTGTTCAGGATAGAAAACACTCATAGGTAGCTAAAATTATTTCAGGAAAATCTCTAGTTGGCCAGTATTGCTCCTCCGAGAGAAAGTAAACCAATGAGATCACAAATGGCAACTTCAAAAACAGCCTTAGAACTGGGGTCTGTGCAAAGGGAAGAGTTGCCAGTGGTTCTGCTAATTTAGCAACCTAATTAAAGTGTATCTGCCAGGAGAGAGCAGAGCCATGACCTCAGCCCTCCCACCTCTTTGGAAAGAATGCTCCTAAGGAATTGTCCAGGCAGGGGGCTGGTGATGAAAGGAGTGAGGTGGAGATTACTCGCCGACCTTTACATGAATTGTTCAATAGGTAAAGCCCATTAAATACCTGTATCAACATTATGAAGCACGTCACCGAGCCCGCAAAGAAGATCCTCGCCAATGACCTTGTTGAGCAGTGAAAGCTGAAGGTGGAAGAACCATGGCAGACTGTCCCCACAGTGAGGAGCCACGTGACAGTGACAGGCGCATGGCTCAAAAGCTGGGCCTAGTGCCTTGGTAGGTTTGGGTACTGCTTTTCCCTATCAGAGTTCAATATTTCATGGGGTCTAGAGTGGCCTGCCCCTGTTTCCTTCCCCCTTACAGGCAGTCTTCAACAACAGATAGACGAAAATTGTTTCCTCAGCTGGAGAGATGGCTCAGCTACTCAAAGCTCTTCCTTGCTATGCCTCCCTGTCTGTATCTTGTAGCCTTATGGTGTATTTTTGGCCTTGGGGGTTAAGGCTAAAAAGTATCACTGGGAAAAATGGGAAGTCAAGGTTTCTGTTTGGAAGTCCTCTTCTCACCACTGCCCAGGCATCTCCAGGTGACTAGTGATGACACATGGAGCCCTGCAAGGCTAGAGAGTGAAGATGTGTCCTGGTTAGACAACTCTCCAGCCTGTGGCCAGGTCTCACATTTCTCATCTATAAAATGGGTCTATTCCTGCAGCTGGATGTTTAAGTCTATAAACTTTTGTATTGTGGAATTCTGTCCTCTATGGAGCACATGACTATTGTGATCTTGAAATCACTGTGACTGTGACTCACAACATCAGTCTATTGGACTAAGGAGACATCTCAGTGCATAAAGCACTCGCTGGGCAAGCCAGGCCAGTTGTGGTAGCTGTATACTTCATCTTAAGTTCCTGTGATGAGACTGGGAGCAGACAGAGTATCCCTGGAAGCCTGTGGGCAAATAATCCTGGTATATGCAATAGCAAAACAAGAGGCCTGTTCTCAAACAAAGAAAGTAGGGACCAAGACAAAGACTGTCCACTGACCTATACACATACACACTCATATCATGTGCACGTGCATATGCATGCATGCACACACACACACACACACACACACACACACACACACACACACACACACAAAGAGAGAGAGAGAGAGGGAGAGAGAGAGAGAGAGCAGCCTTATTATTATACCCTTACAGAGGGCTTAGGGACATCATCAGACTCTCACCTGAGATTTCAGCCATTCTCTCCTCTCTGCTCCTACTCTAGCCACACATAATCCTTGCAGCTCCACATGGTCACTGAAGGTGCTAACGTGTACAGCATGTAGTAGGCTACCTGAGAGAGAACTCCGTTGATACAGTTTTTGACTCATGCTGAGGTAGGAGTTTGCAGTGATACAGCTGGTTTTGAGTCATTCATATTCCTGTAACTCTGATAGTCATTTGTTTGCCAAGTTGGACTCAGTGTGTTATCTTTATCCTACCTTAGGTGAACAAATGTTTGTTGGTCCATCTCTCTCCAGGAAAGTAATACAATAAATGAATTCTAAGTTGTAAATAAGGTAAAATATCATTTTCATCATGGCTAGTATTATTTTAGAAGAAGATGAAATGAAAGCCTAGCCCAGTCTCCCCCAGGTGATGAGGTCAGCGTGACATCCAGAATGTAAAGATGTGCCAGAGTAGCTAGCCATTTGAGGAAAAGTTGAGTATGTGCTCAGATCCCGATCCCAACCTCCTTCTCACTTACCAGTGGGCAGTCCCCTCAAAATCATCCAGAGAGTTTGTTAAGAACAGATTGCTGGGCTTCTAACCCAGAGATTACCACTCAGCGCATCCATCTTGAGGCTTGAGAATGGGCATCTCTAAGTTCCCAGATGATGTTGACATTGCTGATCCAGGAGGCACACGCTGAGGACCACTGGAACACGGTGTGTTTTGTGCAGTGAGGAGTTAGCTAACTGAGAAAGCAGCTGCCTGCTCACGTTGGACTTAACAAGCACCATGCCTACCAACAGGTAAATCACACCTCATCTCCAGAAGACCAGGAGAAGGTCATGGGTCTTGGATTTGCTTCTAAGCCCCTCTTGCCCTTGCAAGCTATATGGCTTAGGCTGAGTCAACTGTTTGAAGAGACTGAGCTGCTTACCTATGCTCTGGAGACCAAGCCTCTCTGGCTTTCCTGTGTTTTAGAAACCCCTCCACAAAGGCAAAGCAACACTAAATGTTCAGTGGTCGCTGAGTTCAGCTCTGAGCTAGTTCTCCTCAGGACTTCCTGCTCTCAGCAATACTGGGTACAAAATGAGAATTGGGGAGCTTTAAAAAGAGCTGGACTCCCCCCTTCAGCTGCTATGCCTGGGTCATGTCTGAAAGCCCTTATTTCCCCCCTCCCTCCCTAGGCAGCAAGAGTCCAGGGCTCTGAAAGACTCAGGGGCTCCAAGTGGGAGTATCATTCCGGAATGGCTTTCTACCTTTGTGTTGAGAGCCTAGCATCTTTTGAAGACTTCCTGCTGGTGGTGATGTGAGCATGGCAGCTGAGGGCTTTGAACCAGGCAGGGGGCAGGTGAACACATTGTGAGAAATTCACTCTCCTACTCTCCCCAGGAACATGGACAAGGCAGGCTAGAGCCTACCACAGGCCAAAGTATTTTGGTTAAACATGCAAATGAATCCTTTTAGGGACAAGAAAATGCCCAATGGCTCAAAATAAAGTCTCCTTGTTTCATCCTCTTGTCTTCATAGTAAAGGGAATTTAAGATCAGTACGTGTGTTTATCCAGGGTCAAGTGGTAAGAGCTAGGATGGGGAGAAGGAGCCAGAAATAAAAGTACATTTCATCCTACCCCAAATCCTCCTCCAATAAAGAATGAATTCCTGGCTGTGGGGACAAGAAGCCCCACAAGGTGAATGGGGAACTTTGGCAGAGAGACACTGAATAGAAGCCAAATGCATGGCATAAATCCCTTCCATGTGGACGCTCCCATGTACCGAGGAGGCTGGACTCCAAAATGCAGTCTCAGCTGTTCTTTCCCTGAATTCACAAATGGAGAAATAAAGCAAAGGGAATGTGCACGTGGCCAGTCCTACCAGGTGGGCAGTGTTCGTTCTCCTAAGGATCTGAGAGTCACTGCACTCCTTTCACAGAAAAAATGAAGATTTGTGATACCCTTCAGAATTCAGAGATAAACCATGGCCAAGAAAAACCTTTCCGTGTGGGGATTCCTGAGCCTCTGTTCTTTCCTCTCCATCAAGCAGCCCTTCCTTACTTTGTCCTTAGTCTACAGTCACCAAAAGGGTCCTGTCCAAATGTTAACCCTCCTCTATGCACTCTATCTCCCACATTGCTCATCCTGGGCCTCTTTTACAACATTGTCCCAATGGCAGGACCAGGAGCCTCCCGCTGGACACTATTCAGAACCCACCAAGCTCTAGGAGGTGTATGGATGGGGGAGAGTGTGGAATTGAGGGACCCCAAGGATTGACTTGGAGTGAACTGTTTTGTTTCTGACATCTACATTTCTATTTGGGCCCCTTCTCTGCTTATTCTTAGTTCCCGTCATGCTGCTCAGAGCTATGGCTGGTGAAGTCATCTGACCCACAAGCCAAAAAAGGTGATCGCGTCTCCTAAGAGAAGGTATCAGTCTCCTTACTGCCTGGCTGGCTGGACTGGCAGCATCCAGGTCATGAAGATCAGGCTTTGGGATGCTAGGAGGAAAAGACAGGGAAATGTGTAGATGGGATGTGGGGGGAAATGTCCTATTTCCG